TATATACATGTGTGTATGTTTGTGTATGTGTGTATATGTATATACATATGTGTGTATGTTTGTGTATGTGTGTATATGTATATACAGATGTGTGTGTGTGTGTGTGTGTGTGTGTATGTATGTGTGTGTGTGTGTGTGTGTATGTATGTGTGTGTGTTTGTGTATATGTATGTGTGTGTGTGTTTGTGTTTATGTATGTTTGTGTTTTTTGTATATGTATATATGTGTGTGTGTGTGTGTGTCTCTGTATGTGTGTGTATGTATGTATGTGTGTGTATGTATATACCTGTATATTTATATATATGTATTTATGTGTATGTATATATATATATATGTATATAGACTTATTGCCCTGACATCCCACATCATGAAGGTCCTAGAGAGACTTATGCTGACCCACCTGTCTAAACAAACTAGCACATATCAGGACCCACTGCAGTATGCTTTTTGGCGTGGACTTGGAGTTGAAGATGCCATCATACACCTGCTTCAGCAAACTCACCGTCATCTAGAAAAAGCAGACAGCACTCATAAAGTCATGTTCTTTGATCTCTCCAGTGCATTTAACACAATCCAGCCTGATTTGCTTTGTCATAAACTCCAGAAGACTCATGTGGTGGCCTCAACAATCACCTATATCAAAGACTAACTGACAAGCAGACCACTGTTTGTGAGACTTAACCTCCTGAGACCTGAGCTCTGGTCTGAGATGCATTTTTCATATCTCCTGTATATTTGTGTTTAGATTGACCTGATTTATGTATAAATAAAGCTTCCTCTTCAAACAGGAAGTTGTATTTTGTTACATGGTTATGACATACTTTTGTTTAAAAATAAAAAAAAGTCCTCATATGGATAAAATGGGCTTATTTTACAGCATAGCACAACATTGTTAACATGGCTTAACAAAGTATAAAACACTATTGAACAGAGTGAAGTACAAGGTACAGCAAAGCCAAAATGTAATGTCCCCATATGTGGACGCAGGGTCTCAGGAGGTTATGGGTTGCGTGTCTAATCAGGTGGTCAGTAGCTCAGGAGCACCACAGGGGACTGTACTCTCACCATTCATTTTCACTCTGTACACCTCAGATTTGCAGTACAAAACGACTCCTGTCAGCTGCAGAAATATTCAGATAACTCTGCAGTGGTCGGGTGTATCAGAGATGGACAAGAAGCTGAGTACAGGGAACTGGTGGACCACTTTGTGGCATGGTGTGGAAACAATCATCTCATCTTGAATGTAAACAAAACAAAATAGATGATTGTAGATTTCAGGAGAAACAGAAACCAGTCCAACCCTATTTCCATCATGGGAGAAGAAGTGGAAGTGGTGAAGTATAAATATCTTGGGGTTCACCTGGACAAGAGACTGGACTCGAAATGCAACAGTGAAGCCGTCTACAAGAAGGGACAGAGCAGACTGTACTTCTTGAGGACGCTGAAGTCCAATGTTTGCAGCAAGATGCTGCATATCTTCTATAAGTCTGTTGTAGAGAGTGCAATCTCTTCTGTAATCATCTGCTGGAGTAGCAGCACCAGCAAGTGACCTTAAAAAAGATCAATAAGCTCATAAAGGAGGCTGGCTCAGTTCTGGGGACTCCTCTAGAACCTTTGGAGATGACTGTACAACGAATGATTCTTCATATAATGAAGAACATTATAGACAACCCTCAGCATCCTCTTCATCAGACTGTCATACAACAACAGAGTGTCTTCAGTCAGAGGCTTTTTCAGATCCGCTGCAAGACAGACAGCTACAAGAGATCCTTCCTGCCCACAGCAATAAGCGTCTATAACAACTCTTTAGGGTGCGTTCACACCAGCCCTGTTTAGTCTGCTTTAATTGAACTCTAGCTCTTTTTTCTAGGAAGTCCGGTTCGTTTGGGGAGGTGTGAATGCTCCATCGAACTCTGTCACGGAACAAAAAGGCAAACTCTGGCCTGGGCTAAAACCTAGGTCTCGATCCGATTGAAGAAAACTCCAGCACGGTTGGAGTACAGTGTGAATGCAATCAGACCGTGCCCCGCTCCACAAGCAAGAAGTGGAATACAGCGCAGGGCAAACAAACATGCATTTCTCTTACCTTTTTTGGAGCCGTCAGCTGCCATGTGTGAAAAACAATATTCTCCATGGACTTCTGCCTCATCTTCTGCTCATGCCGAGTCCATTTTTGAAAAATGTAACTCCTAAAACTGCTAAAACTTGATGCCACTCTGTTTTTGTTTTTATTTCCAGAAGAAGAAGTGTCTTCAGAGGTTTTTGTGTCATTTCTTTCAGTAGTTCTTGGTACAGCGCCCCCACAGGTGAGTGGGGGAACAGGTTGGTTCAACTGGTTGGCTCGACTGCACAGTGCAGTGTGAATGTAAACGCACCAGCTCAAATGTAAACAAAATGTCATGAATATTGGTTCCCAACCGAACCCAGTCTACCGGACTATCAGGTGTAAAAACAACCTTAATGTGAACTTTCACATCCTGGATAGAGAGGAACAATGGTTTGAGAGAGGAGTAAAGGAGCCCATCTTTGTGAAAAGAAATCGTCCATCATTAAAAAGGGGTGGAGGCCTCCGTGTTCCACTGTCCCCCTTTTACAATGCTGTTATTGCTAGTGTCACTCAGCCCCCTGTGAATAGTAAACAGCCATCAGTGTGCTAATGATCCATCGTTAGGCTGATGGTCCTTCTTGATCATGTGAGCCGCTGGTTTTGGTTGTCAGCAGCAAAGTGGTTGATTCACTTTGAAAAGGTGCTATTTATAAGACTGAGCTGAAAACAGCACCTCAGACTGAAGAAGTCTTTCGGATGAAAGATGAAACGTTTCTACATTTTTTGTTTTGCTTTGTTTTGTTTTTTGAATGTCCAGAGGACCAGACTTAACCTTTTTAGATTTTTTATACCTGGATTATTGAGCATGCATCAGGATATTCTACAGCTTGTGTCATGGCTTTGGATCAGTCTGAATTACCTGATAAAGGTTGTTTTAATGCTGCTGTAATCGGTCTTTGCATAAATCTGCTTTTCTTCCTTGTAGAAGAGACGTTCACAATCACATTCGGATTATGTCATTTCAAGTGCATTAACAAGTTAGACGTATTGCCTGCGACAGATCCAATCTCCGTGAACCATCGACACACAGCTTTGGATTTGCACTTGTCTTTTAACACGAAAGCCATAATGTTCCCAAACAGGAGACCACAACGAAATGCTAGGCTGCTAATGCTACGCATGCTGCAAGACTATGCAACAATAAATAGCACAGTGCTGAAACACACTTAGGAACTTTAGTTCTGCGATGCATGATTATGCGAAAGATTTCTCGTTAATAAAATTTAATGAGTGAAAAAATAACCGCAACGTTATGCAGGTGGACCATGATGTACCAAAATGGTTCAATACAACCACATGTACTGTTACACCACTACTGTCTTGTTTTGTGATGATTCAACAATGCATGCTTGTTGTGATACAGGTGAGCACGTCTGCAGTAAAGCAGTCATCGCATTCCCAACCCACATCCCAGCAGCCCCTCTCCAGTGAGAAGTTACACAGTCATGATGCCACCACGGCCTCCCCGCACACACTCCAGCGCCTAAGGTCAGTACAAGTATACAGCTCACTAACCTCAGGAATAGTTGGTAGTTAATTAATGTCAGAAACAAAGATGCATGTTTCTGGTCTTTTGGTTTGTATTTGTTGGAATATAAAGCTTAGTTTGATGCTTACTGACAGCTGGCCGCTGTCGTCACTCTGACTTGTTGCTAAAAAGTGTGTTATATTTGCTCATTCCGATCAAATCAGGAAGAAAAACAGGCTTTGTGGTGTTTTTCTACAATTTGTTGACCATAAGGGAAACAAAAAAGTGCCTCTTTCATTCAGTTAACTGTTGATTCATAAAAACAGCTCATTGATATTTATACATGTTAGTCTCACTGAGTCACGAGGACTCATTTTCAAGAGTGACCTGTTTTACTGTTGTACAGTAGTCCCTCGTTTGTCATGGGGGATCCGTACCCTGAAGACCCGTGATAAGTGAAAAACTGCAAAGTAGGAATAGTAGTACAAGTAGTAAGTAGTAGTTTATTTTAGTATGTGTGTGTACATGTATATAAGGCATTTTAAACACTTCACACACACTTGCAATATTCTAAACAATGTTTCTAAACTCTATAAACGCCCCAAAAAAACCAAACAAACCGCAGAATGTCATGATTTTAATCTCCCTGCCACCGACTGCCATCTGCCAGCACTCTTGCCCAGTTCTCCGCTGCAGAGCGGAGATATGACACGCTGCAGGAGGAAGCTTCTCCTGCAGCTGTGGGCTGCACACAGGTGCATCAGTTGCTAAATAATTAAAAATAATTTATTTAAAATAAAAATGTCATGCCGATCGTGTGGCTCATCCATCAATCAGCCAGTTGTGTGTCATGTCCAATCTCACTTTGAAAAACTTTGACAGAGCGAGTCCACGAAAAATGAACCGCAAAGTAGCATGGGACTACTGTATTTGTAATTGTAATAACTGCAGTTTGATTTCTCAAAAATTGGACTTTTGGAAGCTTTTGGGGTGGATGTGGCTGAGTGGTTGGAGCAATCGTCCTCCAATGCGAGAGTTGGTGGTTTGAATCCACCAGCAGTCACATGTCTAAGTGTCCCTGGGCAAGACACTGACCCCCTCATAGCTTCTATGCGTGTCCCATCAGTGTATGAATGTGATCGAAAAAACACAGATTAGTCTCTTTAGAATGATTTGTTCAATTAGCTTTGTAGAGATCTAGTAGAGTGCTGTATGAATGTGTAATTGAGGACACAGATTTTAGTGTAAAGCGCTTTGAGTATCTTGAAATAAGATGGAAAGGCACTATACAAGTACAGTCTATTTACCATTTATATACTAAAGTTTATTTCACCTTGAGGCTCAGTAGCACTAGCATTGGCATAGCTTTGGCATTGGCAGCATGACGACTCGGGTTAGTGCTGTTGCCTCACAGCAAGAAGGTCCTGGGTTCAGTCCCTGGTTGGGCCTGGGGTCTTTCTGTGTGAAGTTTGCATATTCTTCTCGTGCTTACGTGGGTTTTCTCCGGGTACTTCGGTTTCCTCCCACAGACCAAAAACCTGCATGTTAGGCTGCCTTCAGGCCCAGGCCTCCCTTGCAAAAGAGTACAGTGATCTCAATGGGATTTGCCTTGTTAAAGGTTAATAAATGATAATAATTTGTATTCTTTTCTGTATGGGAGCAAGCTTGATCTGATTACAGGTTGTGCATGGTGTGAGTCATTCAACACAAAATGAAAAAATGACATGTTGTTTTGACAAGTGGAAGCTTGGTGGTGTTCTCTATTAACCCATTAAGATGGCAAGGAATCCTTGTTTTTTTTTGTTTAGTTTAGTTTTTTTGGTGAGTCAAAATTCATGAGAATCTAGAAAGGTCTGAAGTTGATTAAAAACAGCCTTTTCTAAAACTTTGGGCACAAAGGGTAATTTAGATATGGGCCTGTAGTTAGAAAGAATGTTGGAGTCAAGGTTTTCCTTTTTGGTTGTCAGCTGCACTACATACAGCATGTTTGAAAGCAGCTTGAACACAGCCGATGACAGAATTCAATAAATGAATAAAAAAACAAGGCCCAGTGATGTGAAGGGTTTCCTTTAAAAGACGAGAGGGGAGGATATCAAGAGGAGAGAAGGTCTGAAATTAATAACCATTTCATTTAATACTAAAACAGACACGGTCTCAAACTGCTGAAATAACAATTTGCATTTTAGTGAATCAGACAGATTAAAAAAAATGTGAATTATCCACCAATCTATTATCTTTACCCGCTTCTTTTTGGGTCATGGAGGACACTGGCGCCCATATCCTTCCATCATTGTGGGAGATGTGGGGTACACCCTAGACAGGTCTCCAGTCCATCACAGGGACACATAAAGACAAACGAGGCAAACAACCATTCACACTCTCACATCTAGGGACAATTTAGAGTTTCCAATCAGCCTAGCATGCAAATTTTTGTTCTGTGGGAGGAAACTGGAGTACCCAGAGAAAACCCACGCAGCACAGAGAGAACATGCAAACTCCATCCAGAAAGGTCCCCAGGCCGGGATCTAAACGGGCAACTTTTTATCTGAGAGGCAACAGCTCTCCTTACTGAGCTACTGTGCCGCCATCCCAGAACATGTTGAATTTAAAACGTTAACCAGCTCTTCACCGTTGAAGTCTGCTTAATCCCTGGCATCACTGATACCCCTTTTCTAATAGTAACGGTACAACTCAACTCAACTCAGCTCGGTTCCAAGGCTTTTCCATTAGTAATGGTACGTAGAACCGGTCCCTTTTTTCTGAACCCTTTTTCTGCGGTACGAGCTGGGCCGAGCAGGTACCAAAATGTGACGTCTGAACACTGTTATTCACTGATTGGTCAGGGGGTGAAGTCCCTGGATTTTTCTGAAACTTTTCCAAACACGATCCGCCATTTGCAAATTCTCAGAACTCGGAACAGCGGCTGGACCTATTTTAAAGATTTTTAAAACTATAATGACAACACCATGGTCTAATGCCAATTCGGGGCTCAGGATCCCAGCCTTGCTTGATCTGCAGGCTCTGAGCTCTGCTGGTCACCGCGGAGGATCATATGAGCTGCTGACTTGCAGAAGGCTGTTGCCCGAACCCCGGCCTTGCATGCTCATGAAGGCCGAACCCCAATCCCAGCAGACGGGTCTGGCGCAATGAAGGTGGAAACGATTTTAAAAACATTTCATGCATTTTTTTTTTTTATCAGTGAAGATTAAAAAAAATAATAAGTGCCTGCTTTATCATGAAATCCTGTTGTTACTTTAGTAACTATTAATAATCTGTTAAAGTTAACTCAGCTGAAAAATCATAAAAAGACAAAATTATTGGATCTCAGAAATATTTCCCTTGAGCCACCACCAGCTGGTAAGGCTCGTGACATCAATTTGAATCCCGCCCACTGGAACCTGTACTGAAGCACAATGGAAACGCAACGTGCACCGTACCAAGCCGATTAGAGCCGTGTTGTACCGGTACTAAAGGTACTAATGCCCCTTTTCCATTAGTACTGGTACGGGCCGACTCGACCCTACTTGGCCCGGTTCTGAGGCTTTTCCATTAGTACCGGTACTTAGCACCTGTTACTATTTTCAGTACCCTTGGCTCTGTGGTTCTAACCGGTACGAAGAGGTACAAAAACGTGACGTCAGTACACTGTCGGTCACTGGTTGGTCGGGGGCGGAGTCGGGGGCGGAGTCACTGGATCCTTCAGAAACGTTTCAAAACAATAATCCTCCATTTGCAATTTCTCGGACTGGAGCAGCGGCTGGACTTATTTTAAAGATTTTAAAAACAATACTGACAACATCTTGGTCTAATGTTGATGTGCTGGCATTTTTTGTGCTTGGTGGCCTACAACATAATTTAGAGCAAGCTGGATGGAGCTCTGCTGGTGTACCCCGATCCTCCCTCCGGAGCCTCGGAGCGCCAGACCGGGCAGGGCGTCATCTCCCCGGCTCCAAGTTCAGCTGGTCACCGCGGAAGATCCTTCGATGTGCCGACTCGGAGGCTCGGGTTCCAGATACCAGCCTTGTGTGCTCAGAGCTCCGCAGGTCACTGCGAAGCTGGAGATGGGGACTCGCAGATGGACGCTGCCAGACCCCGGCCGCGCGTAATCATGAAGGCTGAATCCCGATCCCGCCCGGCAGCCAGGCGGACTGGACAGTCTGGGACGGACGCTGGAAGCGATTTTTAAATAAAATAACATTTTGTTTTTATACAAAAAATGTTTTAAAAAAATGCTGAAGCGATTTAAAAATGATTATTATTTTTTTTACACGTAAAATGTTTTTTAAAATCGCTTCCACCGTTCGTCGCAGACCCGTCTCTGTCCGCCTGTCTGCGCGGGTCGAGCCTTCATGATTACGCGCGGCTGGAGTCTTGGAACAGCCTCTGTGAGTCACCAGCTGAGCTGGAGCTGGGAAGATGAGCCTCCCAGCCTCCTCCTCTCCGGAGGAGGGGATCGTGTGACTGCGGGCAGTGTCGTGCGAGACCAGCAGAGCGTTGAAGATTTAAAAAAAAAAAAAAAAAGACGGTGCCAGCTTCATCATGAAATCCTGTTTTCACTTTAATGACTGTTAACTCAGCTGAAAATCATAAAAAGACACGAAACTATTGGATATCAGGAATATTTCCCTCAAACATGTTTAAAGAAGAGACGACCTTCAGTTCAACTTTATTTTAACTCACGAATGTACAAATCACAAAACAAGAACTTTAAAGCAAAGCTAAAAATAAAATGTATATATGTGAACAAGAAAGAACACCACACATTTAAAATGAACATTAAAAGTAGACAATGAGTGCAAATACATCAAATGATGATGAAAACCTATAAAAACTTAAATGTAATGTTTTTGTAGAATCTGGTTCATCAGAGTTTTAATGTATATACATATATATATATATATATATATATATATTTATATCTATAAATAAATATAGATAAATATATATGTATATATAAAAATACATATATATGTAATTTATATACATATATATATTTATATCTATAAATAAATATAGATAA